AAGATAAGTGAGACTTGCTGCTCATACCAGAAGACTGATGTCTGTGAAAGAGAAGTACCTCTCATCACGAACAAATACAGCTGCATCTGTGTATATTATTTCAATGAAATGATAAATTTTAGAGCATCCTAGGAAGTGGAGAAATAGATTCCTTTTCATTCCATCTTTTTAACAACAGATTGGACAGACTATAGCAGCAAGAGATGATTTTGTTATCCAGTGCTGGCAGGTGGAGGTAAAATTTTCAGTTCAAGTATAGAACTCTATCAGTTACCACCAAAGTGTTAAAATAAAACCTTCCTGTCATACTGAATTGCTTTTGGGTGTTGTCTTTCTGTCCCCTTACTTGGTTCCCTTCTTAAGGGACAGAAGAAAGAATGGAAGGGCAATCTGAATTAAGGTAATGACTTTTCTAAATGTCATGCTTCAGCACTGCATGTCTCAGGACTTTCAGGGGAGCAGAAGTGAATAGAAAGACTGAGGTTTATTGCTCTGTCCTTTGCCCTCTAGCATCATAGCTGAAGACAAGGAAATATTGTACTCTAAGAACATATTGGTAAATCTCTTTCCTAGATTATTAGTTTATGCAAAAGTGACAAATTCATCCACTAGATAAACATTTTTCACCTTTTGGAAAGCATATTGGTAGATTTGATTTTCATCTGCTGTGTGGGAAGTGGGTTCACAGGATGCAGTTGTAGGAGAACTAACAATGAAAATAGATTTTTTGGCTTGCTGACTCCAGTTTTCTGCCCCTATTAGCAATCATGTCAAATAATCCTCTTTAGTTATTTGTGAAAATTCAACTTGAAGGTTGAAAGTAGATGAGTTTTTGCCTCCATTTTAATTCCCTGTGAGGAAAGAAATCTTAGATATATCTTAGATAATGACAGTTTTGTTCTTCTCTTGTGGGATCATTACTTCCAATTTAGTTTCCTGATAAAAGTTTGAGTTTAGGTCTTTCAACTTTCAAAATTGCTTGTGTCGTGTAGGCCACCACAAAATATCAAGCAATCTGTTAGACAGGAAACAGTGAGAGAGGAAGTCCCTGACATTCTGTTAGCCTCAAATAGCTCATCTTTGCCCCCTCCCTCTTTCCCCTCTTGTGTTCCCGAGGATGACACCCATTACTGAGGTGTGCAGATCGACTCCCACAAGCCCCATAATGCCAGCTCTCAGCACTGCACTCCCTAGCTACCACTTGCCTGTGGGAATTCAGTACCAAGATTCTGAAACTGTCTTTTGCCCACATGACTTACTGCTATTGCTTCCAGCAGGACCCACTGTCCTGGGGTGATTTTGAGATATATTTTATTTAAAATATTTAAACTTGAATCAAAAATGTTTTTTTTTTTCTTTTTTTTCCCCTGACCTTAACTGAAACTCAGTTAAACTGAAAGTCAGTGCTGAAATGCAGTAATATAAAATATATTTTGCTGTATATCCTCTTTTAATTCTCTCCTCCTTCCTTTTCCACCCACATATAAATACATACAGTCTTCAACATCACAAATACCATGAAAAAAACCAGGAATCAGAAAGTGTCCAGTTGGCAGAAGTGGAGTGCTCTCCTCAGCCTCTTTTTATGTCTCTCAGTCATCTTTTGCTGAATAATATAAGACTTCCACATTAGGGAAAAAATATGGTTTCAGAGTTTTGGGTTGAATATTGTATCTAAAAATGTTACACGTTTCAGTAAACAAAAAGAGTATTCATGTACTGCACAGTGACACTGTCTTCTCCATCACATAATGGTGCATAATTAGCAATGAGGGATCTTCTTTTTATGTTATGTCCTTAGGATTTTACAGCTCCCCAAAAATACTGAATGTCTGAAATACTCATGAAATTCCTACCCACCATTCTTTGTCTGAAAAATATGGAGGAAATTTAGTAACAACTAACACACTCCCAGAAGCCAATGTGTTTTCTAAGATGGGGGTATTACTGCAGCCACGTTTAATTTCATTCATGGCAGCCATATCATATTGAAAGGTGTATTCTGATAGAGCCACCATGTGGCAGCAGGACATTTTACCAGTATCTGGTAAACTGAAGAACTTTGCTGTCTGAACTCGAGGTAAATCGTTAAAGCCAGTAAATTCAAGATGTAGTTTTTCAGCCCTTTGTCACATTATGAGAAGCATTTAACATTGATAGTTTGATAGCAGACAAGAACATTTTTCATCACTGGTCAAATAAAAAAAAAAATTCCTGAGTTTTTTCTTCATGCATCCGGAGAGCTGTAAAACTAACCAAGGACAAATATGAGGCTGCTGAAATATGAAACAATTAAAGGAAATCCCAGTTTAAATCATAATCTCCAGATGGAAAGTGTAAAAAAAAAAAAAGAAAAAGTTTCACTGGATGCTCATTCTATTTTTTTTCTTTCAGTGAACTCTGCTTTCATTTGAAATAAGAATATTTTGTGGGTTCATGCTGGAGAATTAAATATATATATCTGTTTTTTCCTCAGGATTAGGGCTAATGTTGCAGTAAAATCAAAGCACCTCCCCTAATTTAATCAGTGCATTCAAACTCCTTAAGGACAGAATTAAATTAGTCTTTTCAAAGAGTAAAAGACTGCTCATTTAGTTGGAATTGAACTCACATCAGTAATGTATTTGACATGTCATCATCTACATACCCCCATATCCAATCAGTCAGAAGTGACAGTGGGTTATACTTGCCAGTATAATGAAAGATGATGAGCATTTTTACCCATGAAAGTACCTTGAGCTATGATGATTTTATTTTCAGGAAAAGATACTTCTCAATAAAGAAAAGTGAAAGAGCCTGTGGGGTTACCAGTAAAATATGTTTCTGCAATACTCAGGAAAAAAAAAAAGATAACAGAAATAAAATTAGTCTAACAATATAATAAATTAAGAAGATTCTAGGATTTGTCAATCTGCTTTAGCTTTTTGGTGAAGATTCCACAGGCTTCCCAGAGAAGTTGTGGGTGCCCCCATCCCAAGTGTTCCAGGCCAGGCTGGATGTGGCTTTGAGAAACATGGTCTAATAGAAGATTCCAACCCTGCCAAGGCAGAGGGGCTGGAACTAGGTGATCTTTAAGGTTTCTTCCAGCCCCAGCTATTCTATGAATCTGTCTCAAGATATATTATGTTGTAGCCCTTTCAGATAAATTCTGTTGCCTGAACTAGCAATTCTTCCCTTTTCTTGAAAGTGTAAATAGTGGAAAGACAGTTTGAAACTGACCTGAGAAAGCCTCCTGCTTAGCAAGTCAGTTTAAACCCACATCACCTTTATTCATTGAAAACTTTATTTGCTGCAAGTTGCTGATAGGCATTATGGGTGTGTGGCACAGGAAACACTTTTGGTTGTGCAGCTTCTCTGATCTGCTGCTGGTAATTACCCATATCAGCTGTTTGTTTCTGAAGAAAGTAAGAAAAATCCCATCTTGGAACACTCTGTCAAGGTAGAAACTGTCCCATTTCTCAGTGCTGTTGACTTTTTCACAAAAAATTAAGGTTTGTATTTCATACACTTGATTATGTGGAACATGCAATTATTTGTGCACATGTTCGTGTCTGTACTCAGATGCTTTTCAACTAGATTGAGTTCAATTATTTTTTACAATGATCATCTCAACAGATGCAGCCAGTAAACTAAAATAGTTTAATTTCATCATTTTAGAGTTTACAATAATTCAGTTTTGGTTTATTCCATATGCTCTTAGAGCACAAATCTAACCCTAGTTAATAATATTTTGTATCTTTTTAGCATCTCTTCTGGTATCAGCGTCCCAACTGAAACTAAATAATCCTAGAATTTCTTATGAAGCTGTATCTTGTTCACAGTCATCTGAAAATCAGATTTTTTTCATTTCAGTTCTTAACTCAGTATTTGGATATGCCATTTTAAGCACGAGCTTTGAAAATTATCAGTTTCCATTAATTGTCAGGGTGTCTTTACTCAGCATTTTTTAAAATGTCTTTCATGAAAAACAAAACCAAACTGAATCACAACAGAAAAGTTTCAACCATAAAATTATGCCACATCCAAATATTAAGATTAATTATTATTATTATTATTAATTAAATATTAATATTAAGTCCTAAATTTAGGGGATTCTAGATATTAATTTTGAAAAATAAATATAGCTAATTCCGGGTTTGGGTTTGTTTGGGGGTTTTATGGTATAAGGGCAAGAAAACCCTCATACACCTCCTCAGAGAACAGAGATTTCTATTCACAGAAGAACGTTTATGGACATCCATTATCTGAAACATGTTTAAGAAGAAAATAGCTAAAACTTGGTTCTGCAGAAATTATCACACAAATACAAAATCATATATTTTATCCGTGTCCATTCATTCTCCATTAATTCTAGGTCTACGTCATTAAATGTCTTGGCTATTTGCTCTTGTAGCTATGTTTTTATTGCTCTATGTTATATCTAGCAGCAGCACCTACAATTCCATTGGTGAATTAACACTGCATTGCATTAAACGTGTCCAAGCAATTAGCTCAAAGCCTGTTTGTGTTCCAGGGAACTCATATTTCAGAATGGGGTGTGGAAAGGAAAAAATTTACAGTTACACTGTCAGGCCCAGCTAGTTCCTCAAACCAGCCAAGGAACAATGATGAATACTTAACCATCCTCATACCCTAAATTATTATCCTAAAGAATTAGTGTCAATTAAAAACCTCTTGATTCATTTTTTTCTTATTGAAAATTCCTACCATATACAAGTGCTTTTGGAATTTGAAGGAATGTTTTCAACATAGAAAATCCTTAAAAAAAGAGAAAGGAATTTTCATCTCTCTAGCTCTGGCCTTTTGGAGTTCAAAAAGTTTCAGAGAAGGAGATGATTTGGTATTGTTCTGAGTCAATTTGCTCTGGCTGAGGAAATGACGAGAAGGAAACTACTTCCCTGTCTCGGGAACCATGTGGTGTTCCAAGATAAGGCAAGTACTTACTAATTCGAGTCCACAAGCAGGAAATGTGATACATCCATTTCCTTTCAGGCAAACAACACGGTTCTGTGGCAGCACAAAAGCTTTGCTTCTAGTGCAAAATCTCAAACCTTCAGAAAACTATTGCTCCTCTGTGGACGTACCGTTCTGTATTTGCTATTTGGATGTTATGGATAGGAACAGTACTTTTCCTCCAATCACATGGCCACCAAAATTTTGGGGTAAGGATATTGATTTTTTTTCCCAGAATAATTCTTATGTAACTGCAGATATTTGTTGTTGATTGCCTTAAAAATACCTCTCTATACTGTCAAGTCAATGTTGGATTCAAAGAGTAATTAATAGATTTTCTATTTCCTGCAGTGATAAGACTGTTTTCCAAATGTTTGTTTGACAAAGTTTTATCATGTTTTTAAATGAATGAAGACAGCAGAACTGCCAGGGCAAAATTGATTGTTTCAAAAAGTTCATTACTGCAGTCAGTTGAAAAGGGGTCTATTGACTCCAGTCAATAGTCAGATCAGATAGACATTTTCAACTGCTTAATGGATGTACCTACACAGCAGACATGATCTGTTTCATCTTTTGATGAAAATGGGATAGCAAAGGCTAAATGTGTTCCAACATTTGGACTAACTCTTGTTCCTCAAGAATGAAAAGTTATTTGTAATTTGTTGTGCTGCCTCATGGTGAGATTTTCCTTATTTTTTCCTCAGTATATATTTTGATTATTATCTATTATGGTTGTTTTCTTTCCCCCAGATCTGGGAATAGTTCATAAACTGAAATGTATAGTGTGAGGTGAAAGTATATGTTATACTGAAATTCATTCAGGGTAATTAGATTAATTGATATGATCTTAAAGGATGCCGTGCAATTGCTGTGGAAAATCTTTCCCTCCAAAAAGCTCTATTGCTTGCTATGTTTAATATTAACATTTATTAGCAATTAGCTTAAAATTAATCATATATCTGGTTTTCTCTGTTATATTACTGCTATTGAGTAACAATCCCTCCAAGAATCTGAACACTATTTAAAACTACAAAATAATATGCATCAGCAAAATACTACTTCAGTTGCACAGAAGTGCCCCATTAAAAGAGTGGGAAAAAAAGATACAAGAGGATGGAAAGAAGTTACTTTTCTTTCTTGTCATAAGGAACAATAATCTGTTGAATGCCACCTAGGCTTCCTGCTGTGACACATATATTTCCTACTGAGACACCATGAGAGACTCACTTAATCTTTTGTCTTGGGCTGAAGAGGAGAGTACTGATATTCAGCAACTTTGGTAAATACTTACAGATTAAGTGAAGAAAAATTACAATTATTACTGTTTCAGAGTCTTTTGTCTGGAGGTTGTCTGCTGGGCTCTGAAGAGCAACAATCATTTTTTTACACTGAAGATGGATGTAATTCTAAAATGGCTCTTTCAGAATAAAAACTTGCTCCACTTGACAACACAGAGCAGGACACACCTTAGCAGACTTATTGCTGAAAGGGTCAGCACCTTCTTTCATGCTCATTGCTCACCTGGCTTGTCTGACACTGTACCCAGCCCTGATCACATCCCATTTGCTTGGGCTCTGATAGCAGATTAACCTCAGAAATTGGATTTTTGTGAGGAGCTTGCATAGTCCTTGAAAGGGAAGATGTCTCTCAGATTTTTTTTTTACTTTTCTGATAGATTTTACAGGAGTGAATATAATTTTCTCTTCGTTTCCTGTAGGTATATCATGTATGGTAGACTAGGAAGGGTCACTGTATAGTATATGTTAGAAGATGATGACTGACATAGGCTCACTGTGTGCAAATATCCCTTAAAATGATAGAAGTGTGTTTCCTGACATCCTGGAGATACAGGACTTGAGGTAAAAATAAACCTACACATTAAAAATATAAATAAAATTTAGTTCTTTATTAAATAAGAATGCAGTACTTGGAACTGATTTTTTAGGACATGGCTTACAGGCTGTTTTCTAAGCCACCCACTATGTAGTACTGTGAATGTTACTACATTACCATGATACATTCCTTCTCCCTGTGTGTGTGACTTCTCAGCATCTTCCATGGACTCAGCCAAAGTGTAAACTTCAACATATGTGCAAAGGTTTTCTGAGAGAGACAAATTTTGTGAGAAAAAATCAGTGCTGTAAAAATAGTCAAAGCGACTGTTCATAATGATATATAATCTCTTACAGTTTTATAAACCATCTATTGTCTAACAACTGGTTCCCTATGCTGGAAAATATACAGGCATCCTGTTTTCTATAGTTGTCCAGTTTCCAGTGATAACTTCACACAATAGCTTCTTAAAAGTGACTCTAAGAATTTTAGAACAATGAAAAAACTAAGCTGTCCTCTGCTTGCTTATGTGGCACATAAAAAATATAAATACCCATATAAATCTTTTTATAATTGCTCCAGACCAGTGAAAGTGTGCCTTAAGCAAGCTGTATAGAGAAAAACAAGATATAAACACCTCAATTTAAGTCATTCTGTGTGTGAGTTATCTAAGTAGTCAAAACCTTTCTCTTATGCAAAGATCTTAAAAATTATAATATTTAAAAAAATCAGAACATATATTTTTGCAAACTCTGCTTACAATCAGTGACAGACGGGAGAGTCACTAACTGTAATGCTTAGCTGTAGACCTTGCAGGAGTTCTTTGAATTCAGATGCCACCATCATCAATCTGCAGTATTTTTGGAATGCTAAATTATGCAGTGAAGGAAAACAAAGGAAGAAAAAAGTTGTTTTGCTGGCCTAAAATCAATTCTGCTAGGAAAATAAAAATATTAAACTCTTCTTCTGTTTTCAATTAATGAGTTTATGATAGAACTCTTGGCCTTGTCAGCAAATGTTCTCTGTGTAATGTGTCATAAGCAAAAAATTTAGATCCAGACTGTTGCTTGGCTAGAGCTTTTTCCTACTACAGATGTTTAGCAAAGTCTTTGTAGATAGCCATGTCTGTTTGAGATAAGTTGTCTGAGCTACTGCCAGGATGCAGGAGCTCATTTCTACCAGGTGCCAGCTTCTGTGAAGCTATGTTAACTGCTGCCCACCCTTCTTTGCACTGGGAATCCATAGTATGATACTTTGGGAGAGGTAAGAAGAGAAGCACTTAAAGCCAGTCCCTGCTGAAATTCAGCACTGCTGATATCACATTGTAACTGTAGACAGAGAGTCTGGATTATATTTTTTATTACTAGTTTCAAAAGGAGGCTTAATAATAGCTGAGTGAGAAATTCAAGGTTTGATACCCATTCATCAACTAAAAATCTCACTTTTTTACTGTTTTAATATAGTCTTTATTGAGTTCATTTTGATTTATAACAGTGGGAGCAAAGATGTTTCCACTTAAACCAGGAGTGCATTTCTTGTAATTCCTAAAAGCATTTTCAGTTGCACACAAGTAAATACAATAAATGTCTTCAAGACAATTCTATTTCTTCAGCATAGAGAGCAATATAATTTGAGATCAGGAAATTTGATTTAAATAGTACATTTGATCGATGCCACAGCACTAGAGAGAAAAAGTGTAAGCAGATTTTAATCAACATTAACTTAGATCCCTAGACTACCCTTCAGTCTAGTTTACTCAAGTGTCTATTTAAAAATGCAACCTTAAAATTTAATATCTTAAAAACATTAAGGACAATTTTTCTTTTCTTGAACCAGAATCCAGAGTGTTATTTGTTGGGTGTGTGGAAATAATGCCATATATCAGCTGGCTTCCAACATTTTGAGGTTGCAAACTGCTTGGCACATACTATAGGCATTACTGCCTGGCTTCATAAGCTACAAATGCACCCATGTTTTTAAATATATCAAATTCTGCCTAGTCTCTCCCTCAACCCACCAGTCTTCTCTTCATTAAAATGTGTTTGTTTTAAAGAAGTCAGACTGTGTGCTCTGTTGAAAAAGATACCATTAGGGATGAGTGGGTTCTAATGCCTGATGCTGTGTTTATTGTGTCACTGGTGTAGCAACAATGTTTAATGTGTTTAAGGGCTGTGCACCTTTCTCTTTATGCACTGGAGTAAAACCTGAGAAGGGCAGCACTGACACGATCAGGAACACAGCTGCTGGGCACTGCAAAGTCCAGCCTAGCCAGCCATGGGACATGGCTCCTCTTCTGGGATCCTTCATGAGTGGCACCCATGGCAGAGTAGAAGCACAAGTAAGAGATTCAGCCCTATTCCTCGCAAGTAGGAAAAGAATAATTTGTAGTGGCCTGTGTGTTGAACCAGGTTAATCCTCTTGGTTTACACTCGGATGCCTGTGTCAGCAATTTCCAGCATATCCACTGGGTGGTCCCCCCTCATTCCCTTTGCTCCTGTTCATATACTTTATACACTTTCCATTCACACTCCAGCAGCAACAAAAAGGCTCTGGGACCTGCCTAGCTGTCCTGCTGGAGATGTGGACGCAGAAAGAATGCAGTTTGGAGCCAGCTGTGGAGCACTTGACAGCAGATGTGAGAGTGGTATCTTCTTACAGGCCACTGCTGTTCCTAGTCTGATGACTGAAAAAGCCCAACATCTTTGAACCAGAATGACCCAGAGAGCCTTTATCCTGATGGACCTGGCATTGCTAACAGGGTGGAGGATTTCAATAAGCTGAGCATGCAACTCCTTTCCTGGCAGAAAGGAGGAAGTAAAGTTGTGACACAGAAACACTTAAAGATGATTTACACCACTGAAGATTTTTTCTTAGTTGAGAAAACCTTCAGGGTTGAAATGGAAAAAAGAAGGAGGAAAACAACAAAATTAGAGCTTTGGATATAGATATAGATATAGATATAGATATAGATATAGATATAGATATAGATAGATATAAATATAGAGGATATAGATATAGATATAGATATAGATATAGATATAGATATAGATATAGATATAGATATATACACAAGGTATAGTGAAAAAAGAAGTAGAGAATGCACCTGTGTGTCAGTTATGTATGGACAGACCATGTCCTTGGGGCTGCAGATTTCCAATTCTGTCAAATAACACACCTGCAAGCATACCTGGCTTAGTGGATGTGTATCTGTGTTGAGTAGAGGCAATGCTGACATAAAGCCTTCTCATATTCCTCCTGCAAGAAGTTTTTATCAACTTCAAAATGTGTTCAGACTCCTGAGGTAGGGTTTTTAACATGGAGTAAAATACCTTTATTCTTCCCAATTTCACTGAGAAATTGAATTGTCTTATTTTCC